TTTTGTTAGAGAATTTTTATTAATATAAATTATAAGTTCATTTAAAATAACAGAATTTGAATTGATCAAATACTTTCGTTATGATTATCATAAATTCAGAAGACAAATGTGCCACTATGCTCTTCCTTTCTAATCTAAAAATATTTTAATAAAGAATTAAAGAAGTTAGTATAAAGTTATTGCCTATCTAATTTCATTACTACTAAAATCCAAAGAAGTCAGCACAGTGTTCTTGCAAAATCAATGATTTCCTCCAAGACACTTCTGCTATATAGAGTGGTCAGCTAATGCTTTTCTCTTTTTGGTTCAATTTTATTCATTTCAAGAACCAAAGAAATCAATATGAAGATCTTGCAGAGTACAACCGCTAGCTTTTTCTGCTTTAGAACTAATCTAATTAGCATTATGGTTGGTATTCTTGAAAGTGTTTTCATTAATATATTTTTACCTTCTGATTATTGCCAACATGTAGAAAAGTCAGCGCACAGTACCTTGTTAATGCTTTTCCTCCCTATGATTCAATTCAATCATCACTAAAATTTGAGATATTCTTACAGAGTACATTTCTCTCTTTCTGATTCAATTTTATTTTAAAGAAATCAATGTAGAGTTCTTGTATAGTGTAACCGCAAAGCTTTTCTATTTCAAACCCACTTTATTTAGTATTAAGATAGTCATAATAGTAATCATTATTAAACTTTTGGGTCTATCACCAGGATTTAAAGAAGTCAGTATAGCATTTTTTCTCTTTCTGGTTCAGTTTAATTTCTTTCAAGGCTCCAAGAAATCAACCTGAAGTTTTTGTAGAATGCAACTACTATCGTTCTGATTCAAGATATTACTGCCAGGATCTAAAGGAATCATAGTAGTACTTTTGCAATACGAATCTGCTGACATTTTCCTTTCTTAGATCTAAGTTTGTTTCGACTATGAACTAGCTTTTTTTTAGCAAGAGCATAACGTTATTAAATCTTACAATAAAGTACTTAAAAGTTAAAATGTTAACACTTAAAATGCAAACATTATTAAAAATTTTTAAGTTTTTAAGTCTCACGTATCTTTTTAAGAAGGGTTGATCCCAAAATATTTATTTCTCTGTCAATGCACATATATAATTTTTTTTACTCTCGGCTACACGGATTCTGATGATTCTTAATAGGGTTATTAAAGTAAGATATTTTATGTTTTACAATCAGGTTGGGTAGTAATAATGAGACTACCATATTTTTGACTTTATTCAAAGATGTAGTTTTTAGAATTCTAAATATTATTGTTTTCTGTTTTACACATTCAAACATTCTATATAACTTCACGTTGTATATATAAATAGTATTTTAAAAATTGATACACAAAATTATAACACAAAGTCGTTCTAGAAAAGTCAAAATACAGAAATATGTAACAGGAACAATGTTACAATATTACGCATACGTAAATAATTAAATTATTCATTTGCCCACTCACATTTCTTCCAAATATCCCAGTCAACTATTAATACTCTATTTGCAATCAAATTTTCTTGAATTTGCACTTGCTGAGGATAGAAATCTTCCTGTACCACTTCTTCATCACCTGCATAGTTTCACCACTTTCGTAATCTTGAATATCTAAAGCAGGCTTTTTAGATAAGTTGGTTTTTTTACATTTTTTAGTATAGATTTTCAAAGATCCTTTTAAAGCATAATATCGATTACAATAAGAGCAAAGGTATTCATTAATTGATTTATTGATAGTTGGGCAATACCAATCAAAGGTGAAATACTTTAGATCTATGCCTGGAGGAGTTAATTTTCCTTCCATTAATACAGAGAGAAGTAAGCTGCCAAAGTAAGTTGTATTATCGGATATGCCCATGCTTGCTATGCAAATACTATGAAGCTTCTGTTGGAGCAGAAGTGGTGGTGGAAAAAAGCAATTTAGAAGGACCTGTTTGATTCTGCTGCGAAAAGGTTTACAGCAGCTTGGATCATCACACTTTATGACTTAAGTCATATAATGACAAGTCATTACATGTTTTTCCATCCAAGCTGCTGATTTTTCATTTGGGCAGTAGGATTCTTCGGAAGGTTCTACATACTTAACAAGTACCAGATAACCATTGATAATTGTATCCTTTCACACTGATGTCAAAACATCTCCGGCCACTTTGAAATTGCATTTTTCTAATTCCTCATCACTTGTCTTTAACTGTGCATTCAAATGTGATCCAAAAGTATTATGTGGAAGGATTATACCAGCTAAGTCATGGCTTAAGGGCGCCATTCGTCTTTCTACTGGGTTGGATGCACTCTGGTGTGGTGCATAGCATGCCATGATGATGGTATCAAGATCATACTTAATAAATTGATTTACTATCATCTGAACTGTTTTTCTATAGTGTGAATTCTCGTCAGGTCCACTATCATTTATCATTACCACTACAGGTTTAGGTTGGCTGTCCGTCGTAGTAAAGTTGTGTAATTTCTCCTCAACCATCAGGTTATCGAAGTCTTTGCCATGAGAGTAAGCAGTACTACTATCATGTTTGCCGCTACAAATTCTTATGAACGTTGGACCTGAATATGTTATTGCTTCAGCTTGTCTATATTTACCTTCTTGTATATCTAATACTGCATAAACTGAAGGAATTAGTTTATGTCTTTGGCAACAACCCAATCATAATCTGACAATTCTATTCGGTATTTCAACTTCATAAGAATCGGTGCTATATAAATTAATTAATTATTATTAGTAAGTTTTATTTTTTTATTTATTATTTTAAATAGTAATTCTAAATTA